ACCAGCAGCTTGGCCACCGACGCGTCCTTGCAAATGTCCTCGGAGAGCAGGTAGAGGCACAGGTTGAAGTCGCCCTGCGACGGCGAAATCAGCGCCTTGGCCAGCACGCGCCGCACCACGTCCAGGTCCAGCATCGTCGGGTTGAACTGGTACATCTTTAGCAGCGCCAGATTCGCCATCAGGTCGTGGTTCGTCGCCGGGTCTGGGTTCGCGCACTGGTGCGAGAGGTACGCCTCCAGCAGGCTAATCTTTTGCGGATTGTACCGCTCCACCCCCGTCAGCAGGCTGTGGATCTCATCCGGCCGCGTGGCCGGGCGGGCAAACGACGACACCGGAGCCATTCTCGCAGACTGGAAATCAAAATGCGGAAGGAGAGAGGACTTGCCGAGCCGGCCCCCTCATTCAAAGGAGGCCAGTTTTTTTCTGCCCGCTTCAAAGAGGCCCCGGCCGGTTCGGCTCGGTCTGCCTCACAAACCCTCGAGGGGAGCGGTGGGCGGGCCGCCGAGCCGCTTCTTCTCACCTGCTTGGCACGCCTCCCCACCTCCAGCTGCAGACGGGCGCCGATGGAGCTCGAATTCACCACATACAAAAAGGACGAGTTTATCGAGACCGACACCGGCAACAAGGTGAGCCGGCGGTCGCAGATCTCGGGGAGCCAGAACATCGTGCTGGGGGGCAAGACGGTGGTGCACAGCAGGTGCACGATCCGCGGGGACCTGCGGCGCGCCGGGCCCGCGCACCAGGCGGCGGTGCTGATCGGGCGGTTCTGCTCGCTGGGCACGGCGTCGGTGCTGCGCCCGCCGTACAAGACGTACAAGGGCGTGTTCAGCTACTACCCGCTCAAGATCGGCGACCACGTCGACATTGGCGAGAACTCGATCGTCGAGGCCGCCTCCATCGGCTCCTACGTCCGCATCGGCCGCAACTGCATCATCGGCCGCTTCGCCATCATCAAGGACTGCTGCCTCATCGAGGACAACGCCGTCATCGCGCCCAACACCGTCATCCCGCCCTTCTCTGTCGTCGCCGGCGGCCCGCCCGCCGCCATCGTCGCCCGCCTCCCCGAGTCCACCCAGGAGGTGTTTGAGGCCCAGTCCAAGGACAGATACGCAAAGTTTGTCGCTGCGTAGACGCACTGTAAGAATACCACTCCTGCCCCCATGTTCCTTCAGCAACCCGCGGCCGAGCAATGCGGCCAACAGCGTGGATCATTCACGTGATTGGCAGCTTTTTGCTCCGTGCTTGCGATCATTGGCCAAGGACCTTTGCCAGAACGTGCAGTCACAGCACGAATCAATGTCAGTTTGGCCGAGTGGTTAAGGCGACAGACTCGAAATCTGTTGGGCATTGCCCGCACAGGTTCAAATCCTGTAGCTGACGCATTACTTTTGCCCTTCTTGCGAGAGAAAGTCTATGCTCCTCTTTTTATGCCGAGTACCCTTTTTTGCGTGGCCAAGCGCTGCAGAGATGCCAACCCAGATGGATCGGGTGTTTGGATCCGGCGTACTTGGCAGCAACCGGTCTGGTCACGGATGCGTGGCAGGTATAAAGCAGCGGCCGCGTGGTGCAACAAGCCGCCTTTTTCGCCAGACACCCAGCAACAGAAGCAGCAACAGCACACACTCACCCAACAACAGCTCAGAAATCCTCGTCGACATGGCTTGCCTCATCGCACTTGCTTCTCTTGCCGCTGCTGCGGCAGTTGCCGTTGCCCAGCCCAACATGGACGCTCACCCGCACAGGCGCAGCGGCTGCGGCTATGGTGGTGTCGGCTACGGCAGCATTGGCTACGCCGGTGTCGGTTCAGGCGGTGCTGGCTATGGCGGTGCTGGCTATGGCGGTGTCGGATATGGCGGCTGGGGCGTCCCGGGCTACGGCTGGGGGTATGGCGGCGCGGGCTTCTTCCCTTACGCTGCGAGCAACACCAACGCGTTCAACGCCAACAGCAACTTTGCCCACTTCAACGACGACACGCTGTACGTCAACAACAAGGACGCAACAGCGGCCAACAGCAACGTGAACACATTCAACCAGGCCAACGTCGTTGCCTGAACACCCGCATAGATCCCGCCCATTGGCCCAGTTCTTGCATAGACCAATAGACCGAACTGCTGCCTCTGGTCCTGAATCAGTGCTGCACCCCACGGATCAGCATTTTTTAGACAACCGAGGACTGGGGGCAGCGGCGCTGCACGCGAAAAAGATGCGTCGTGGGGGGGGGACAAGCAGCGCTGCGCGAATAAATTGCGCAGCAGCCCTAGGCACCGGGTTTACCTCTTCTTTGTCTCTGCTCACCCAAGCACGACTGCCACGTCTTTCCTTCGCCGCTGATCCCTGGTAATACCGACGGTAGTTGCGCCAAAGGATGGTCCAGTGCTGGAAAACGTTCTGCATCGACTGCAGACAGGACATACGGTACATGTGCGATCTAGCTGACACGTTCTACCTAGACCCGCACAGTGCCGAGAGCGAGTTGCTCAACCGCCAAGCAGTCGACCACCCAGGACCAGCTACGCCGCCCGTGGCGCCGTTGGAGCGCCTGCCACCGCTCATTAAACGAAGAATATGCGCCTTCCTCGCTGTGGTCGACATGGATGGTCTCCTGTGCACCATCCTTGCTGTCCCGCACCTGGCTGCAGACGGCTGGGCGGCGCAGGAACGTCACTGGTCGTGGGCCGGCAAACGCATTATCACACTGGGTGGCTATGCGGATAGCCTACCAAAGAACCTCCTGACTGCGAACGAGGAGAAAAGCATACTGGACCCCAGCAAAAGGACTGGCTACGTCATCGATATGGAGAAGCCTGTCGACCCTGACGACGCTGCCGTGCGCAAGACCTACCCCAGGGCACGCCAGTACCCCACCCTTGGTCTCGATTACCGCGGCCGGGCCGTGTTATACAATGAAGTCCTACGCCAGTTTCGCGCATACACATTGTGGCCAGATAACGCGGTCTTGCGCAACCTGACGCTCAAGCAGCACTACAGGAGTGATAGCCGCTGTCACGGTGAATACTGCAGCAACTGCGAAGCTGGCGTGCTCGGCAGCAACTTTAGCCTCGGCCAGGTGGTGCTCATCATGACGTGCTGGTCGGACGACACGTCTACGTGGTTCAACGTGGACTGGACCGAGGACGATGTGCACGGAGAGTGGGCCGGCCACCGTCTGGACATTGTCGCGCTCAAGAGAGTGCCCGCTGACTGGGAGGACGTGACGGATGCGGTCAAGGCCAAGCTGATGAGGCTGCGCAACCAGCCGCGTTGACATGGTCAGCCGATAGCTAGTAGACGGGCTCTGTCGCCATATTTGATCCATTGCGACAAGGTCAATCACAAAGAAATCAAATACCGGATACTCGCGGGCCATGTTGCGCATCATCAGCTCGTGGCGTCCTGGCTCTTGGACCAAGGAACCAGACGAGGGCCACATTCTCTAGCACGGCCTTTATGGCCCACCAGTACAAGCCGGCGCTATCGAAAAGAAAGTCAACAAGCACGAGAGAGGGGAGATAGATGGGGCAGCTGGTCCCCCGTCCGGGTGCCACGGTGGACTGCTTTGACTTTTCAGTGAGAGCGCACTTGCGACGAAATTACTAGAGCGGGTGAGCGGTCGATGAAAATGGCAGTAGCTCGGCCAGAAGCGAAGGACTGGCTACTGTCAGAATAATTCTGCAGACAGAGAGTGGCTCCTGAGCCGCGAATCAGCCTTCTTGGCTCAGATGGTAGAGCGTCTGCCTAGTAAGCAGAAGGTCGTCAGTTCGATTCTGGCAGAAGGCATTTCTTTTGCCCGCATTCCGGCGCGGACCGTTTGCGGGCGCATTTTTTTGGGCCTGGCAGCCGCAAAAAAAAGCGAGTCCACCACTCCAGGCTGGGGAGCGGGAGCAAAAATGGGGCTCTGCCGGGACTTGAACCCGGGGCCTCTCGCACCCTAAGCGAGAATCATACCGCTAGACCACAGAACCAGTGGCGCGCTGAGCTGCTACGCCTTCTTCTGTCGGATCGTCTCCGCCAGCCGTATCAAACCGGCCGCATGTTTCACCCGCTTCCCACGAATCACATGCCGAACCGCCGCTTTCATGAGCAGCGCCCAAAAACGGCCCATGCTGGACTGGCGCGTGACTACCGGCAGGTATGAACATGCAGCTCGCGCTTTCATGCGTCATCAACGCGGTCCGCGTATGCCAGGCGGGCTCGCTGCAACGCCCAACCGCTGCGCTTTGCGATCGCAAGGTGACCAATGTGCAGGTCGGGCGATTCCGGAAGGGCGGTCCGTGCAGCGCAAATATGCACAGGCGAGGCGGAGCAACGTGGCAGTATGGCGATTGTTGGGAGCGGGTGTGCTGCCAGGGGGCACGCTGATGGGGCCTCGCAGTACAGCCGAATGGGCTCCCTCTGACTACGTTTCAGGCGCGGAGGCCTGCGGGTGCCACAGCCACCCCCCTTTTCGCTACCCGCTGCAGGGCGCGCAATGTGTGTCGCCGCGCGCGGGCCACCCGGCTTGCAGGCAGTAGTCTCCATCGGCCGGGAAAGCCGGGAAAAGAGCCGCCCAGGCGCGGGCGGGAGGCGGACAGCCGCGCAGTGCGATTCCGCCACAAAAGGGGAAAGCCGGCGGTAAGGGCCGCCCGCCGGGCAATCTTGGGGCGCCCCGGCAGTCAGCGGGATGGCAGGTGGGCGGCGGGGGGCCACGGCGCGGGGGAGGTATAAAGACCGATCGGCAGCGCCTGCCCCGTCGAGGAGCCTGGCGCATCGCCTCCGCTTTCTGCTTCCCGCACGCCCGCCAGCCAGCCATCCGCGCCTGCTCCGCCGTTGCACCATGACGCACGAAACCAACTCTGGCTCCAATTCTGCCCGACGCTCGCGCAGCGGCTCGCCCGACCTGGTGGCCTCGAACGCCGGGACGGCGCTCCCGTACGCCGCGCGCTCGGCGCTGCACCTCAAGGGCCTGGTCCCGTCGGGCGTCGAGAACTTTGAGGCGCAGGAGCAGAGGGCGCTGGAGCAGCTGAACCTGAAGAGCACCAACCTGGAAAAGTACATATTCCTGTCGTGGCTCCGCACGACAAATATCAACCTGTTCTACCGCCTGGTGCTGCACAACCTCAAGGACATCGCGCCCGTCATCTACACGCCGACCGTCGGCCAGGCGTGCCAGGAGTACTCGCACATCTACCCGTTCCTGGCGCCGCCCAACGCGGTCGACGGGCTGTACATCCCGATCACCGAGGTGGACAACATTGGCGAAATCATCCAGAACTACAAGGAGTCGATCGAGGGCGACGAGCCAGAGATCACCGTCATCACCGACGGGTCGCGGATCCTGGGCCTGGGCGACCTGGGCATGAACGGCATGGGCATCCCCGTCGGCAAGCTGCAGCTGTACGTTGCCGCGGCGGGCCTCAACCCCGACCGCTGCCTGCCGATCGTGCTCGACTTTGGCACCAACACGCAGCGGTATCTGGACGACCCGCTGTACCTCGGCCTCCGCCAGAGCCGGCCCGCAGACGCCGAGTTCTACGCGGCGGCTGACCGTGTCGTCGAGGCGCTGCACGAGGCGTTCCCGAGCATGTTTATCCAGTTCGAGGACTTTAGCACGGACCACGCGTTCGGGCTGCTGGAGCGCTGGCGCAACAAGGTACTGTGCTTCAA